TCAAGAAGGCCGACCAGTAGAGTATTTTAGTGAGAAACTCAGCAAGGCATGACAGAAATGGACTACTTATGAGCAGGAATTTTATGCAGCCATCCGAGCTCTTAAGCATTGGGAGCATTATCTCATTCGAGGGAAATTTGTGTTGTACAGCGATCACCAGGCATTGAAGTTTGTTAATACACAGAGGAGGTTGAGCAGAATGCATGCCAGATATATTTCCTTCATACAATGGTTCACTTTTATGTCAAAACACAGGACAGGGAAACAGAACAAGGTGGCTGATGCATTGAGTCAACGGGCAGCTTTGCTAACAACTCTGAGTTATGAAATTATTGGTTTTGAATTCATTAAGGAGTTGTATGAGGATGATGAAGATTTCAGTTGTCCGTGGAACAAGTGTCAACTAAAACAAGCTATTGGCAACTATCATATTCAAGATGGTTATCTCTTTTATGGTAACCAACTATGCATTCCAAGGACATCTCTGAGGGAGAAAATCATTCAAGACTTGTACAGTGGTGGTTTAAGAGGTCATGTGGGACGAGACAAGACCATTGCTTTAGTGGGAGAACGATATCATTGGCCACAACTGAAGAGGGATGTTGGGAAGTTCGTGCAAAAGTGTCATATTTGTCAAAAAGCAAAGGGGCAAGCACAAAACACAGGCCTGTACACCCCACTGCCCAAACCAGAAAATATATTGGAGGACCTTTCCATCGATTTTGTGTTAGGTCTTCCACGGACTCAACAAGGTATGGAGTTTATGTTTGTGCTTGACAAATTTTCTAAAATGGCACACTGCATTCCTTGCAAAAAGACGTCAGATACTACTCGTGTAGCGAACCTCTTCTTTCAAGAAATTGTTCACCTACATGGAGTTCCATAGACTATTACTTCGGATTGTGATGTTAAGTTTCTCAGTCATTTTTGGCGAACACTATGGAGGCATTTTGATATGAGCTTGAATTACAGTAGCACAAGCCATCCACAAACTGATAGGCAAACCGAGGTGACAAATCAATCCTTGGGAAACATGATCAGATGTGTCTCCGGTAACAGGCCAAAACAGTGGGATGTAGCTCTACCTCAGATCAAATTTGCCTTCAACAGCACATTCAACAGATCAACAGGGAAAACCCCATTTGAGTTCGTCTACACCAAACCTCCAAAGCTTATACTTGTTTTGGCTTCATTACCAAAGCTTCCAGGATCAAATGTTGCAGCTGAAAACATGGCAAACCGAGTTCAGAATATTCAGGTTGAGGTGAGGCAATGTCTAGAGAAAGCCAATAACAAGTATGAGGTGTCCGTAGACAAGCATCGCTGAACTAAAGTGTTCAAAGAAGGAGATCAAGTACTGGAGTATTTACGCAAAAACCGATTCCCAGCAGCTACTTACAACAAGTTGGCATACAGAAGATATGGTCCTTTCCAAGTCAAGGCAAGGATTAATGACAATGCTTATGTGATTGATCTTCCAGAGGATATGCAAATTTCTCCCACCTTCAATGTTGCAGATTTGTTCGAGTACCATCCAGATGAGCCGCTATACCCAGAGAGTAACTCGAGGGCGAGTTCTTCTGAAGAGGAGGGGACTGATGCAGGACAGAATATTTGATTGCAATTGCAAGAGATCAGTAATTTGATAAAGTTAGCTTGATTGATTGAAAGTTGCTGAGAGGATTTTTTGTAACACTTCCTTAATTGTTGCTAGGAGAAATTTAAGCACTTTCCTTCTATTTTATTAGAAATGTTCTAGTAGAATTTTAGGCAGATTTGATTTTTATTTTTTGCTGTTTCTCTAAAGCTCTAGTAGTATAAATATCCTTGTAAGCCATTAGGCTTAGGGACCTTTTCTTTGACATATCAATAATATTCTTCCTAGGATATTTTTTTCTGGTGGATTTTAGTTCCAGCCCCGTGGATTCGGGTATATCAACCTCACTTCTGTGCTGTGTTAGAAGTCTTTTTTTCCTTTTATGGTTATTCATTCTGATGTTTAGGGTCCATCTCGTATTATATCTGTATCTGGTTATCGGTGGTTTGTCACTTCTATTTATTGTTATTCTCGTGTGACTTGGGTTTACTTGCTCCAAACCAAAAATGAAAATTTTTCATGTTTTCAAACATTTCACAAGATGGTGTTTACTCAATTTGCTACCCCCATTAAAGTCCTCCGGAATGACAATGGCACTGAATATATTGACAGTGCATTCCGGGCCCATCTTAAAGCCCATGAGATTCTTTATCAAACCAGTTGTGTCGGTACCCCTGAACCGATTGGTGTTGCCGAGCACAAGAACTGTCTTCTTCTTGAGGTTGCTCGGGCTCCTATGTTCACAATGCATGTACCTAAACTATACTAAGGTGATGCGGTCCTTACCGCTACATATCTTATTAACCGCATGCCTTCGAGTGTCCTCCAATTTCAACGCCCTCTTAGCCTTCTTCCTCAGACGTTTGTTCACCCTATTTCCCTTCTACCTAAGGCCTTCGTTTGTGTCTGCTTTGCCCATTCCCCTTGTTCTATTCACAGCAAACTTGATCCCAAGGCCCTGCGGTGTATTTTTCTTAGTTATTCCTCTACTCAAAACGGCTATCGGTGTTATGACCCTCACACTTGCAAGGTTTATGTTTCTGTAGATGTTACGTTCTGTGAGTCTAAGCCATTCTTCCAGGAATCATCTTTTTAGGAGAAGGTTTCTATTCTAGAAGAGATTGGTTTTCCAAATTCTATGGTTTTTCCTTCTAGTGGTTGTGAAGGGGAGGGTGAGCCATGTAGTGAGGGGAAAGTAATTCCTTGTGTTCAGGAGGACTCTTATATTCAGGGGGAGTGTCGTTGGTTGGATAAATCAGATCTCAAGACCTACTCTCGGTGACAGAAGAAATAGGTGCCTGATGTGCTGCCATGCCAACCATCTCCATCTCCAGTTTCAAGTCACGAGTCATTGGTTGCTAATTCTCCTGTCCCTGCTAGTGATGTTCATGAAGTCGATGACTCGAATCTTCCTATTGCTATTAGGAAATGAGTTAGATCTTATACTCAACATCCTATATCTCATTTTGTGTCATATGACTCATTATCTCCATCATACGGTGACTTTGTTTTGTCTTTGTCTTCTGTTTCTATTCCGTAGGGTTGGAAATGAGCTCTTAATGATTCTAAGTGGAAAGAAACTATGGCAAAGGAGATGAGAGTACTGAGTAAGAATGGCACTTGGGAGTTAGTTTCTCCCCCACTCTGGAAAAAACCTGTGGGTTGCAAACGGATGTTCACTCTCAAGCAAAAAGTTGATGGATCCATTAAGAGATATAGAGCGAGGCTAGTTGCCAAAGGGTTCACTCGGAATTGTGGCATTGACTATGGAAACCTTTGCACCAACGGCCAAGATGAATTCCATCCGTGTTCTTCTTTCCTGTGCAATAACTCCAGGATGGCCATTCCAGCAGTTGGATGTGAAGAATGCATTTCTTCATAGGAATCTAGAAGAAGAAGTGTATATAGATGTTCCTCCAGATTTTTCTTCTCCAGCCATTGAGGGAAGGTTTGGTAGTTAAAGAAGGCTTTGTATGGGTTGAAACAATCTCCTAGAGCTTGGTTCAACAGATTTCTTAAGGCGATGCTCAGATTTGGGTATAAGCAAAGCCGTGCAGATCACACTTTGTTCATCAAACAGTGTGAAGATAAGATCACTATACTTATTGTTTATATGGATCACATTGTGGTGACAGGCAATGATGAAGAAAAAATGTCCAAAGTCAAAGCTCAACTTTCCAGGGAATTTGAAATTAAAGATCTTGGACCCTTATAGTACTTTCTTGGAATTGAGATTGCTAGATCAGATAAGGGCATCTTTATTTCTCAAATGAAGTAAATCTTGAACTTACTTGAGGAGATAAGCATGTTGGAATGTAAGCATGTTGATTCTCCTATTGAGGCTAATCATGGACTCAGTAGTAGTGACGGAGAACATGTGGACAAAGGGAAGTATCAAAGGCTTGTGGGAAGCTTGTTGGCGTTGTTAGCCAATACATGCATGATCCTTGGACGGGGCATTTGGATGCAATTCATAGAATCTTAAGGTATCTCAATTTAACACCTGCAAAAAGCATCTTGCTCTCCAATCATGCATTTAAGGTTAGAGGCCTTCACCGATGCAAATTGGGCTGGTGCTATTGATGATAAGAGGTCTACCACAGGCTATTGTACAATTGTAAGAGGAAATTTGGTCACTTGGCAGAGTAAGAAGCAGTCTGTTGTTGCCAAATCGAGTGCAGAAGCGGAGTATCGAGCCATGGCACATGGCATTTGTGAGTTGATCTGGTTGAAAGTTTTATGGCTGACCTAGGATTGTTGAGTGGTGGTCCCTTGCGATTATATTGCGATAATAAGGCTGCTATTAACATTGCTCATAATCCAGTTCAGCATGATAAAACTAAGCACATTGAGATTGATTGACTGACATTTTATAGTGGCATCGTTTGTATGTCTTTTGTCACTTCTAACGTTCAGTTGGGTGATGTGTTTACCAAAGGGTCATGGAGTAAAGTGTTTCATCCTATTGTATGAAAGTTGGGCATCAGGAATATCTATGCACCGGCTTGACGAGAGTGTTAAGTTATGTGCTTGAGGATAATAATGTCATTGTACTTATTCCCTTATTATTATAAATGCATGTGTTTAGAGAGGTAAGAAACCTAATTAGGTTTTGTGCCTTCTCTCTCTCTCTCTCTCTCTCTCTCTCTCTCTCTTAGCTTTTAGAAACAAAGATGATATATCCCAGAGAAACGTGGCTAGGACATGAACAATTGGTAACTACTTTGTGGCACATAATGCTCCAAACAATCAGCCAAAGATCAATCTAATTACAAGGATTCCCATAAGTTTTTCTCCATGCCCAGCTGAGACAGAACATTCAAACAAACAATATGGATAGCTTACTGCCAGCTAGTCCATATTAAGAAGGATAGACCTCTTTAGTCCATAGTTGTGGCCATACCTGCAAATAGTACTACCATCTTTCGTAGAAGTACGCCCATAGAGGTACATGACGGATAGACCATCTGATCCAACTAGCAGTAGTGCTGATCCACTTTTATTGATGGAGATCTTATTAACCACAAAAGTGAGCTGCACATCTGGTTGCATTACCTATAAGAATTACTAGCATCATCAACTAAACACTTGAAAACAAATACCATACGCAAAATATTAAAGCATGACAAAGGAATCTAAAAAATAAATAAAAATTTAAAAGAAATCTATGGAATAAGTATTCACAAGCTAGTATGCGAAAATTATTTCAAAAGGATTAGTTTTCAAAGGACAGTCTTTACTCTTTTGTTCTTCCAATTTACTAGAAATTCTAATAATATAGGTATTTCAATACCTCATTAAACATTCAACAAAACAAGTGCAGACTCAATTCTTGTTTATGGTTAAAATAATTCTAGAGAACAAACCCTCCATCCAGAAGCTAAAATCAAGAAGAACCCAGGAAACGAAAAATGATAATTTAAAAACAACTTGACCTCATTCCAAGTTAGCAAGTTCCTAATCCAATACCCCAGTAACCATATATTCAAAAAAGTTATGGGTTACTTAATTATTATACCATCATTCGCAACAGCTCCAAAATTCTTTAATTATAAATAAGCCCTTGCCCTAATGATGATAAAATATATACTAGTAACATTTCAGTGTGAGTGTGTGTGAGAGAGAGAGAGGGAGGACCTTAGATGGGGAAGCTGCGAGGATGGAGGAGGGGTCGGGGTCAGCTAAGCGAATGGAGATCCGATGGAGGCATTGCTTAACGGAGTCCCAGAAGTAAAGGCGAGAGGCTCCGTCCCATGCCATCAGATTTTTGGGCATTGGGAATGAGGAGGAGGAGGAGGAGGAGGAAGAGCCACCACCGTCCACGGCGGTGGAGAAGACGGGGTGGTTCTGGAGAGGAAGCCATTTCAGTTCATCAGTAGGCGTTGAGGATGATGATGGTGATGATGTAGGCATTAGGGTTTGCCCCTCCTCTGCTTCGGTTTCCTGTAAATCGAAATTATATCTCATCTCTCTGCTTCTCTCTCTTTCGCTCAACCTTTTTCCCTCTTTCTTTGCTTCGTTACTTCAGAATTACGCTGTACTACTTCACTCTGCCGTCTGTCTCTCTCTCTTCCGGCAACAATTGATGTAGAGGGTATTTGAATGAGCCAAATAAATATATTTTGATTTTTTATGAAAATATATATATATAAATAAATAATAGAAATTGATTTTTTATGAATATATATATATATATATATATATATATAAATAATAGAAAAGGTGATGTTATTTTAAAGATAAAAAAAAAATTATATATTATTATAAAAATGTTTATGAGAATGTAGCGTAGAACATGAGAAAGTTCTAAATTCTTAATACTAAATTCTCAGGCACTCTTTTTTTTAGATGGCATCCTCTAGAGTCTCCTTTGCTCATTTCCCTAATTTTTAATTTTATTTAAAATAAATATAACAAAAAATATAAAGGAAAAATTGGTCTATGGTCCCTCTCCCACTTTTCGTAATGGAAGAGGTTCACGATATTATTTTTTTATATCTAAGGTCCCTTCCATCTATCACAGAGAAATTCAGCCCCCTTCCTTTTTTCTACTCTCACTCATCACCACGATCAAACACGCACACACACAGAGTTCACTGTTCGTGATCGGAAACGCAATCATCATCATTCTGTTTCTGAAATACAAATCGATCATAGAGAGCTGAGATGATCGTCGGAAACCACCATTGTTTCCGGTTAGATGAGAGAGAGAGAGAGAGAGAGAGAGAACAGAGAGGTGTCGGAGCTGTGATACACAACACACACAGACACGGCCAGCAGACGAACAACTCACACACACATCCACTCTCTCGCCGCCCCAACGGCACCGTCAACTGCCGCCTCACCACCTTCTTCGACCTCAAATCTCCTCCCTCCGCCACCAAACCCATCCACGGCGTCACCACCTGCGACACCACAATCGACTCTTCTCTCAATCTCTCGTTCCGCCTCTACACCTCCACCGCCCTCACATCCACCACACCACCATCGTCTTCGTACCATTCTCGGACGACGGAGACTACGCCGACGATGAGGCGGGCTTTGGGACCGGAGTGGTAGAAGAAGCAGAGGTCGCCGAGGCGCCATGCCTTTCCGATTTCAATCAATATCAGTGCAAATGAGCTTTAATTTTTCTGGGTATTGTTAAAAAATATATAAATATGTTTTGTAATTACAATTATAATTTGTTTCTTGGATTTGCAGGCTTGTACTTTGGTTTGGGAAGTGAGAGTGATTGGATGGGATGTGTGCTATGGAGCTGAATTTGTGCCTGAATTTGAACTGAATTTTCTCCAGAGAAATTCTCAACCCAGTGAAAATTCTCTAGAGAAAATTCTCAACCCAGAGAAAATTCCCACTTTCGTTATCTGTTTCTACCAGAACATATTTAACCATGATAGCCAGCCTGCCTGCCTGCTTACGCCCATGTTGGGCAACTCATCTCATCATGTCAAAAGATTAGGGAATGGTTTTGAGCTGCTTCTGCCTCTACTTCTAGTGGATGAATATTAACAAGGAGCTGGCAGTTTTGGTAAAATTAGAATTTTTTGTTGTTTGGCTGTATATGTATATTAGACTGAGAAGCAAATAATATTCTAGCTGATGATAAAAATGCATCAGCTTAATTTCTTCCACTGCTTTGCTTAGCTGCCTTGTCCTCCAGCAAGGTTTGAACTGCAGTTGAGAAAGAAGCTATTGTGACAACAGTAGCAACAATGGTGGAGGATCAAACCCACGGCAGAGAAATTTGAATTTTCTTTGGAGTACATGAAAGGCTAAAGAAATTTCTCTGGCAGTGTCCATGAAAGGCTAAGGAGGCCAGAGAAATTCAAAATTTCTCTGGACCAATTTTCTCTGACTTGAATTTTCTCTGGACCAATTTTCTCTAGATTGTTGTTGAGGGACCTTAGACATCATGAAAATATTTGATGTCCTTTATACTATAAAATCATAATATCAGGGACCTTAAAAAAAATACCCCAAATATAAATATCAAATATGTAAGTAATAAAATTAATAAATTTGATATCTATCTATTCAATTAAAATCTTTATTTTGTCCCTCAATATTTAATTTTGAATTCTAAAAATCTTCACAATCTATCTAAACAAATCTAATTTGAAATTTTGATTTTTTTTCTATTTGAACTTGCTTGTCTCAACTCCTCTCCAATAACTAGAGGATGTTTGTTCGGCATTGGTGGCCCTGATTTGAGCCCATGACAATGATCCAAATCATTTGATGTGTAGAATACATTGAGTACATCATCCCTCTAAAAAATCACATTAATCAGATATCGATAACCATTTGATCAGATCACATCATCAAATCACATTTCAATATAATTTGCAAATGAAATTTTTAAAATAAATTGTGATAAAAATGTGATTTAATCAAGTGGTTATCGATATTCGATCAACGTGATTTTTTGCAAAGATGATGTACTCGATGGGTTCTACACATTAAACGATTTAAGCCATCACCATGGGCCCAGTTCAGGGTCTAACAATACCGAACAACACCCTCCAATTATTAACAAGGAGTTGTATCCGATGTAGAATATCCATATATTTCAACTTAATTTTTTCAAAGTTTATCTTCAAGTTGAAGTTAATATTTTATCTTTTAAAATTATCAACTAATTATCTACATAAATTTCAAATATGATAGAATTTTAAGTATATCTTTTGTCTAAACTAAATCTTTTCCATATAAAAACAAATGTTTGCAAAAAGAGCCACGAACAAGAGATTGAAAATTACAGAGAAAAAAAAATCACAATTAAAATTGAGCTACTTTCAACTCCCTTCACGAAACCTAAAAAATCTTGCATTAAAGTCAAGTCATAAGTTTTTTTTTTTTTCTTTCAATTATATCTACTATATATTTGAAATATATACTTACATGCACTTTTGCATGTGTGGGAAAGGAATTTTATGTAAACGGATATTCTTATTTTATTTTTCTTTAAATTCTGTTTTTGTTTTTGTTTTTACTTTTGTTTCTTTTTCTTTTTTTCCTATAATCTGATTTTTTTTTGTTTCTTTCTTTTTTTTACTAGTAATGTGTCATTTAATTGAAATTTCATTATTTTTTTGAAGTGCTACTATTACTAATTTGTGACTCTCTCACTTATTGACTATTTGTGTTTAATTTTTTTGGGTACTGATGTTAAATTGGAAGTGAAGAGACCATCAAAATTTATTTGAATATGAGTTTATACTTTAAATTTAGGGTAAACAACCAATAGGTCCTAATAGTTAGACTTAATTCTCATCAAGTCCTATTGATAATAAATCTTGGTAAAATTGTCGCTAAAAATATTTTTTTGTGACAATTTTTTGCATACGTCGCTAAAAATTGACAATTAGTAACTTTTTTTGTCATAATTTTTTTTGAATTGTCTCTAAAACTTACAATTAATGACATTTTTTATGACAAATTTTTTCCATAGGACTTTTAGATAATAAGTTCACTTATTAGGATCTACACATAAGTACCCCTTAAATTTAATCATTAAAACAACTCATGATTGAATTAATTTTTAGGAACCCATTTCTTTTGATACCTAAACCACAAATTTCTTCTTCTTCTTTTTTAAATGTCTTTTTATGCAGATTCAAAATTTGAACAAATGCAAATGATAGGTTTTTTAAAAAAAAATTAAACAATTCTATTTTTTATGGTTGTCTATTCAACTTTAATACATTTTCAAACCTATTTATGCTTGGTGAATCAATATAAAATTAAAGAAAAGAAAGACAAAAAAAAAAGCATGTAAAACTTTTTAACAACTAACTGAATATAATGAGAATTAAAATTAATTTATTTTAATTCATTATACTGTGTGGAATGATTAATGTAATATCTCAGGTTGATTGAAAAAAAAAGGGGGGTAAACTACCAATAAGTCTTAATAGTCAAATTTAATTATCAAGTCCTATTGAAAATAAGTCTTGGTAAAGTTGTCGGTAAATTTAATTTTTTTGTGACAATTTTTTATATATGCCGCTAAAAATTGACAATTAGTGACTTTTTTGTCATGATTTTTATAAATTGTCACTAAAACTTACAATTAGTGACTTTTTTTATGACAAATTTTTTCCATAGGACTTATTAGACAATAAGTTCACTTATTAGGATCTACACATAAGTATCCCCAAAAAAAATTATTTTATACATATTGGAGAAAACAACAAAATAGTAATTTTTTTTAATGATTATTGATTTTATAAAATCTCGTGCATAGCATGGGTGACTGCTAGTGTATTAATATAGGGATGTTAAATAGTGCCTTAAAACGAGAGGAGAATCTAAGCATTTTGGTTTGTGTCTCAAACTATTTTTTTGGAGAAATTTTTTTTAAAATATGTTTGATTAAAATTTTAAAAAAAATAATTTAAAATTAATTTTCTTTCTATTATATATCAATCAATCATTTTTTTTCTTACATCTATCTATTTAACTCCAAAAGATTACCAAATCATCTTAAACTCCAAAACTTCAAAAATATTTTCAAAATATACCACTAAATAAATTTTAAAATTTTCTAAATTCTCTTGAAAAATTATTTTTAAATAATATCTCAAAATACGAACCAAATGAGGTTGTATTTTAGGAAGTGTTAGGTGCACATTTGTAATTTATCCAAAACTAGGAACTTCATCGAGTGATTATTGGTATTTTCACTTGATAGCCACATGGTGTTTCATGATATTATGATTGGCGGAGAATGTGAGATATTATAATTTTGTATTGTGTGATTGAAGCACGTGAGGGGCATGTTGAATAGTGATTGGTGAAGGAGTATGGACATGTGATACTCCGAAAGTACTTCGGGGTTGTTTGAGATGATCTAAATAATAACACTTTTTGACTTTTTACAAAAAAAAATTGTGAAAACTCACATTTAATTATTCTTAGAAGAAAATAAATTAATTAATTAATTTTATCCAAAGTCTATCTAATATATGTATTAGTGTATAAGTTAGTGTTAAATTAATCCATAACAAAAACATTGTTAAGAATGATAATTTTATGGGTATTCAATATTTATTGTCTATAATTTATTTTAATAAGGATTTAACATAATAATTAT